ATGGACTCATGAAGGTATGGCTCACTGGTGAATAATAGCTATGACAGGACAGAAGCAAACCCTGGCTCAAGGAGGCACTAAATTACCGCCTGACAGAAGCTGAAAAATTTAAACCAGGTGAAACATTCCTCTGCCTTATGTCAACTTGCTCTTCTTACAGCTTCCACTGAAGAGACCACACCCATGGCGTGACCCATTGTGACTACTCTTACACAGCAATGCTGGCAAAAGCATGGCATCAAACCAATGTTTGGCTGTAGCAACACCCTGCAATGCTCAGGGGACAAGGCATTCGAATTCACAATACAAGGATCCAGTGCTGAAAACTGTGCAGGAGAGAATGCACGTACAGAAGGCAGATATCAGTTTAAGCCCCATTAGAGATTTAAGCATGTCATCATTGTTAACAATAATACTGAACCACAGATAAAATAACAAAACACACTTGCCTGGTACCCAGGAAGAAACACAAATAGCACCTGAACTTCCACTTGCTGCCTCTTCAGCCCACAGTTTTTAGAACACTTCTTTCTGCAGCCTTTTCCTAAGAAAAGGGAGGGTAAGCCCTGCAAAGCTATTGGCTGTCAGCTCATTTGGCTGCACCCCAGGGATCTCAATCCCTAGGGCCCACATCTCCGGGAAGCAAAATGTCTCACTCTGAATTTCAAGGAGGCTGAGCTCTTAATCCCCACAGAGTTTTAAAACCCAGCTGATGTGCTTCCATGCACGCGCAGGTGATACAGCTGGGGAGCAGCATTCAAGCAAAACATTTTTTCAGTCAGCAAATACTCTTGCTTTAAAGCTAGCAGAATTCATGAAACCAGGCTGATTTTGATGGGAAGAGAAATGGCAGTAGGGGGTTTCAGGACAGCGATGTTTGTAGGAGTGGCAGAATCCCACTCTCTACAGAATAAATCCTATAGAATTAAATTTCCATTTCATAAATTTATTTTAAGTGTACTGAATGGCAAGAAACAAAATACAAGAGTCCCTCTTGGCCAGAAGCCAAGAACCCACCAGCACCAAACTCTACCCAAGCTAAGGGCAAAGCACCTGGAGATAAAAGCTGCTTTCCCATGGAGGTAGCCTTGCCACCTGGGAGCAATGCCCTCGCTGACACCATCCTGACAGCACCCACTTGGCATCTGCGTGTGAAGTTCTCACCAAACTGCATTTCCACCAGGCTTTAGATGCTTGCACGTGGAGTTTAAAAGTGAGAGGAAATTAAAATTAAAGAAAATAAGTAATTACGCTCCACTGCTCAGCTTTTCTTTATATTAACTGTGCACAGTCTTCATATTTTATGCCTGCCTCCATTTGAGCTAAAGCCTCCTTTGTTTTAGTCTCCAGACAGTTTTGCTAAGTAATGAAATTCCCATTTGTGCCATAACTGCTCCAGCTCCTTTTTCCTATGCTCATCCTCCTACGCTGGTTGCATACACTATTAAGTGCTACCTCAGGGCAGAACATTCTGCATTTGTTATATGTACATGTGCGTAAATAAATTCAACGCTACCAGTACTGCACACTTTATATAAACCTCAGCGTGTGAAGAAAGAGCCCAAATTACTCTTGCTTTCCCTCTCTAAATCAGCTGCAAAGAGGAGCAGTGGGAGCAATCAGCCATTTCTGGAGGCATTTTGCAGAGAACGATTCACTCAGAATTGCTTGGTTCAACAGCCACGAAGGAAAGAAATGGAGGCTAAGCCATTTTCCAGACCCTTCTTGAAATTCTCCCTATTTTCGAGTATTCAGGTGCAACTTGGGAGTGCTTATTTACCACTGAAGGCAAAGGAAGGGGAGAAGGGTGGTCCACCGACATGCAGCAGTAATGCGGACACTCCGACAGCCCCAAACCTGGCACAGCTGCAACCACAGCCACATAGTTTCTACTCCTCAAAATCAACCCCCAAAGAACAGAGAAATGACTCAGACTGCGGTACATCACCACTCTCCACAACACCCGTAACACAAGGGTAAAAACAATGGTGGTGAAAAAACTAGCAACACGCAATGACGTCTATTTCAGACAACTGTTTTTAGTCGTGATATTTCCATGTATCACCTTGAATCTGCCTACCACAGCACCAAAGCTTTTGGAGGGAATCTATGAGAATCTATGGGATTCTATGGAATCTGAGGGAATCTATGAGAAGCTCACTGGAATCCTTAGCACTGGACCCTGAGCAGTCTGATGGCAGTAGACCAAAGCTTCAAGTTCCTTTAGGTCCCCTCCACCATCCATCATCGTCAGTTTTCTTCCCAGCTGTAAGGTACTCACAGTACCATTTCATAATAACAATAGCAAAAAAGAAACAGCTGTGTGATAATAGGAGTTAGATCTAATCAGAGATATGTGCTTGAGACAGTGGCAACTCGATACTTCCCTGTTACCAGAACAAATAAATCACTTCCTCTATGAAGTTTATGTACCTCTCCACACTTGTTCCCGTCACTGGAAATGTGTAAAATTGTTAAAAACAATAGGGAATTTCTTGATAGTCTTGGAGCCAATAAACATCTCTTTCTTCTTCTCACAATGTTCCTGCTTTATTATGAATTGAATGAGCTTAATGCTTTTATGTCTGAAATAAATGCTTATCTCACAGTTACACCATTACACATGGAGGTCTAAGTTCAGTTTTCACCTCTGCCACAGTTTATGAATAATCAGCCTAAGTTAAGATAGCAACTGATTTTCATGACTTACAAATCTTCTGCAGCTCATAGAATAGAAGGATAAACAAAAGAGGAGGAAAATAACATTACCAGTGTGCTCTACAGAAAGCATTACTGTACTATTTGGTTTGAGTTTAAAGAACAAACAGCATGAGTCTATACTCAGCTGTCTACACTCCTTTTTATATTACAATTTCACTAAACAGCTGTGCTAAACATCAGTAATACACAGAGTGGGAAAACCCTTGACAAAACTGGTAACTCAACTAATGCAAGAAGATGCCAATTCCCCTCAAAAGACACAAGAATAGCATTCTTCATCTTTGAGAAGAAAATGATAGTTTTAGAGAAACAACTACAAGCACCTTACAACAAGCATTATGTCAATTTGATCCTTCTTGAAGCGTCCTATTTTGGACAACAAAATGAAAGCACTCAGAATGGCTGATTACTTTTGAATCCTTTTTGTCCTTACACAAAGTTTGGGGGAAAAAAAAAAAAAAACAAACAAAAAAACCAACAAACCACTAATTAAACTTGCACATAAATTGCAGTTTCCTTGTGAAAGAAGCAGTACATTCACTTGTTTAACAAGGAAGTTGAACTAGATCATGAGTGTCCAACCTTTTGGATTGCCTCAGCTGCACTGAGCGAAGAATTGCCTTAGGCCACATTTTGAATGTATAATATAGTTACATATACAAGTAACAAAACTTTTTTTAATACATTTTTTGTTAAAACATAAAAAAGGAGGACAACAAAACCATAAAATGACTGAGATATATGACCTTGTTTTTTTAAAGCTAATACATCAATGTCTGGTTCAATGGCAGTGGTTGCAATTCTCAGTGAGCTCTCAAGGTGTACATCAGAGATTTTGTATGAAACTTTTCCTTTCTTCACCCTTGAAAAGAACTGTTCAAACATACGGATCACCAAAAACCTGTGACATGAACAAAGTGTTCTAATGCAATGGAAGGTATAGTGGTGACAGCAGAGCAGCAAGGTCCCAGGCTACAGCAAGCAAGGACTTGCTCAAATGCAACAACTATAGATACAGACATAGATTAAAGAACCTGCTTACCTTTGGAAGGCTTCAGATAGGCAGGGATCTCCACTGGGATACCCTTCCTTCCACTGTCAGCCCTTAAATGAGGTCTGGGAAGGGGTGGATCCTGGCTCCAGCCCCCCCCCTCAATCACTCAGTGGCATTGTGTGCACCTGAGCTCCCCCGGGTTGACCCTGCCTTCCCGCCAGGTGCTCCATCATTGGTTCAGGTCACGACCTTGCATTTCTGCTACAGGTGTGATTGTGAAGAAAGGTTATTTCTCTTTGGTAAGAGAGGGCTTGTAAAAGTCTGTTAGTATAATAAATTAATAAAAGGAAAATACTTCTGATATGTATAATTGAAAAACAAACAAAGAAAACTCCTAAAACTGGAAGTCTACCTACAATTAAACCTCTACTTGTGTTCAGTGCTACTGAAAAGGCAGAAGGAAGCAAAAAGTTTTGTTTCAGTAACTGCCAGCAACACGTTCTTGTGAGGTTACGTTCCAGAACCCAGAGGAACAACTTCGTTGTTCTAGCATACACAGAGGGAAACCAGGATATGGAAGTAAGTATGGTCAAAATTTCAAAAGGCTCAAAAAAATAACAGATTTATTTGTCCCTAACTCCTCAAATTGTCTGATACAGTTGAGTCAGACCAGAACCTTCTCTAGCTGGGAACTATTTAAAATGTCAAACTCTATAGAAACATCTAAATGAAACTAATTTTTATTCTCTGTGGGCCCAACTTGCTGGACATCTGCTAATATTTCTGCTTGGCACTGTACGAAATGACTCACTGTTCTGCATCAGGAACCAACAAAATCTCCCAGGCAGCAGTGCAAACACGAGGTAATGTCCTGCAAAGAGAAAGTACTCATGCCTCCCTAGGACAAAGAAGGTAGTCTTAAAAAGAGAGTAATACTATTCTGTGTGATCAGACAGCCTGCAGTTTTACATACCGCAGTACAGTTAATGCCATGCTGTAGTTTTATACAATGCTGTCATGAGGCAACCACAGCAGTGAGATCGTATCTCCAAACAAACTAAGAACCGACAATGGAAGGAAAACAGAGGGAGAGCAGCCACAAATATTACTGATTTGTTTCCAGGGCAACTTTCAAACAGATGTCAAAATGCTTCCCAACAAACTTTTTTTTTTTTTCCTTCCCCCCACCCCAGATAGGTAAATTCAGGCATAACGAGACCATCCCCTAGAAAAAAATGCCAATCTGCAACACAAAACTTTTAGAGCACTTGCCAGCATGACTTACCACAAATTACAGTCATTAGCAGTAGGTGGTCATGGAGTAGGTTCGGGGAATTCCTGGGATGAAGCAACAATTCCCACTGCTTCATCTCAGATGTGGTTCTTCCTCATTACAGCCTGCTATAGGGTGTTTATGATACTTGAAGAAATGGTGCTGCAGGTAACTGGGGCATGGAGAAATTTTAACGTGTCTGGTAAGTAATTGAAATTCCTGTTAAGCCATTTCATTAGCTTAGAAGCTCTCTAAGGCTACTGAAAAGTCAATTCACAATTCAGTAAATGCAGTCTGTTAAAAGCTACATATTGCTGTCCTCATTTTGTTTCGACAGGGACACAAGAATAAACAGACACTAAAATATTCAGGTACATTTAGATAGCCCGTATACACTTCAGCAGCATGGTCACTACAATATGTGATGCCATGGAGCATGACACAGATTTGTGTGAAGGATGCCACTTAGCAGCAGACAGACAGTCCAAGCTATTTATGAAAGAATAACAACTGTTCATTTTGCCTGCAAAAATTGTACATGTATCTCAGAGTTTGTGAGAGTGGGGTATGAATAATAAATGAATCAAGATTTTATCATTCACTTGGTATGGCTGTGAAAAACAAGAGAAAATGAAACAAAAAATAAGAGATCTTGTCAATGTAGAATAAGGAAACGTTCTTGTTTGCCCTGTAAATTTGATGGGTGGCGTGCATGCCATGGACATTACTGTATAGATGGCCTGTTTACAAGGCAATGGTATGACTTGTTGAATCAGAGGATGCATGAAAATTACATATATTTATTTTATTGGCATATATAAGTAAAATCAGCTTTTTAGTAGAGGAAATGGACAAATACGAAGATCACAGGTAAACTACGCCCCTGACTGGAGATCAGCTTTAGACCACACGAGCAATTCAGCCACAGCACATGATGCAGTCTCTGGTTTTTACTCAGGTAAATGCGTGGCACCATGGTTGCTGATAGTTCTTTCCACAACTTCTGTAGCTGAGAATGCAGATATGTGCCTTCACTGTTCTCAGTGGGGAATCCCACGGATCAATTACACTCAACACTATGTGTCAAGGTACTTACCTTGTTAGGATTTTGAAGATCTAACTGGCTGGAGAACACCTCAGTCTTCACCTTGGATTGCTGTAATGAGAGGCAATCCTTACACCAAAGTTCATCCTTAATCTGAAAGTTCTGAATGCAAGATACATTTCAATAATTTTTCTATCCATAACACGAGATCTAAAAACTTGGCTTTGAAGTAATTTACCTTACCTCAAAAACACATGGGACTATCACTCTGTTCCCACATAAACTTTTGGTAACTGCCACTGGAGAAATTTCTACGCAGTCAACAGTCCTCTAAATACACTAGTTTTCATGATTTTCAAAGCAAGCTGTTTACACTGGATAAAGCCCACAGACAGGCTCTTCGCCTCACACACCTTTAAGTACTTTATCTCAAAGTACCACAGTTATTGAATTTTTCTCTCTCTCTCTTTTTTTTTTTTTTTAACAACCCGTTAGTAGATTTGATAGGACTATATAGTGAGAATCTCAACTACAGGTGCCAATTTGAGAACTGAATGGATTTCACTTCTCAGACTTCAGGATCTTTTCTCCAATCTAGTCAGTCTTCACCTAACTCAATAGAAATATGGGGGATTTCAAACATCAAAGGTGGAAATTACAAGGCCATATTAATATTATTAATATTAACCACGTATGTAATCCTTTCCCAGACATAACTTGAGCTCAGGTATTTTCTGTTTCATCTCATCATCCACTCATCCAAATGCTTTCACAGAAGCAAGCAGCCTAAGTATATACTTAACCAAGACAAAGGAAAATGCTTGTTTGTTTAACCTTAGTACAATCAAACAACTTCAAGACAAGAACCCAGTGACAACAACCATTATTCATTGTTTCCCATATAATCAAAAGTTAGCAACTGAAAGGTTCTTAAGTTGAAGGGAATGTTTTATAGAGGCACTTGTGGACCCTACTGAATATCCATCCCATTCAGAAACTTGTTTCAAAACATCTGATTGCTTCTCTGATCAGATGGACTTCTTCACACTGTTTTTGCATGAAATCATCTTTCTTGCCAGGCAGATGCAAACAAGTTTTAGCTCTGCTCAGTGAGCACACCGCATAGCCAGCACTGACTATGACATAGGGCTCTTCAGTGAGACAAATGGGAAGTTTTGACTCAAAAAACCACCTAGCAAAGATGGTAATATCCAGTGCACTGTGGCTGTAGGATCCAATTATAAGAGCATGCCACAGACATCTTATTTCCAGAAACCAAGGGAAGATGAATTGGCTACAACTTACCACATAGCACTCCCTGGGAATGTGCCTTTTTGTCCCTTGGGTTGAGATCAGTGCTAATGACCAAACAACACTGGAGAAATGAGGAGAACAGCTCTCTTCTGCCACTGACAGACATTGTGTCACCTTGCTTGTCAGCTGAGAGAAACCCTACTGCTGTTTCGCTTTCAGACTTGGACATCTTATTAACCAGGGTCTATTAGTGCTTTGAGTGTGTTAAGCATATCACAATTGTGTAAGCTACACTGTTAGAAGGCTGCATGTGTGGTCTAGTTTTAGAGACTTGATCACAATCACTCGCTGAACAGGCACGTTGTGCACAAAAGCTTTCAAATGTTTGGGCTGGTATTTCTCCCATACAAGGCTTAAACCCTCTCCTGCAAGCATCTGTGCTGCACTGCTAGCAGTGACTCACTTGCTCTCCAGCAAACGCGCCGCATGCAGTTTGAGCCTGACATCAACTGGGCTTGGTTTGACAGCTTCTTGCAATTGCAGAGGTTTTTGGGAGCGTGCAAGAAGACAGGCAAGTAGTGCCCAGTTTAGGATCTCTCAAGGCATCAAGTGACCTGATTTCTCTGATCAGGCTTTCAGAGGCTGACTAGATGGCATTGAGACAGTAATGTGCTTATGTTACTGCAAATCTCTGGCCTCTGTCATTCCCTCGTTGAGTACCAGCCTGAAAATGTGGAATTAAATCCCCTATGCCTGATGACACTCACAGCAGGGCCTCTGAGGCAAAGTGGCAGCTGAAGGGCTGAATGATGACTCGGACAAATGCACATCCAGATAACTTTTCCAGCAGATTTCACCAGTGACACACTGAAAACACAAGTAATTTGGGGGAAATTCTCCCAAGCCTATACACCTACTCCAAGATGAAAATATGAAATATGATGAGACAGCTGGGTGCTAGAAAGCAACTTAGTCATCCAGTGCCCACCAGAAGCCTTATAATGCTGAATTGCTGCTGGGAACTGAAGTCACGCACGAGTCAGAACCAACATGCCTGCACATGTTACTTAATGTAGGGCTAAGGAGCTCTTTTTTCTCCCCACCATCATCTAAACAAATACTTAATTCTGCAGAGAAAACAGCAGAGACAACTGCTCAGATCTAATGAGGGAAAAATTCATCCATTTGATGCCAAAAAAAAAAGATTGACTTGTGAAGCAATTTTCCTCTCAGCTTCAACTAAGGAGAGAAGAAAGTCACAGCTAAATTTTAGCTGGATTCTTCTCAAAATGAACTTTGGTCAAACATAGATAGAATTCAATCTCCATTCACCATCTGGCAATGCTGCTGTATCTGTCTGGTAGGTCAGTTAGCAGCAAAACTGGACAGAAGAGGATCAGGCAACGTGTCTCTAGACTCAATCTTCTGAACACTCAAATCACGAAGAACCTTCCACTCAGCTTCAGCAAGAGCATACAGATCTGCAAGACCAAGAAGTCATGCCTCTGCTTTCATGCTTCACCTGACTAATCATTTATAATGATGTTACCTATGCAGGATTTTGTTTTTTCTTAGAAAATACAATCATAGGAAGCTGCCATAGTAGCCCATACTTTGGATTAACAGAACTTCTGCAGAGCTAAAATCCTGAAAGCAGCTACACCCAGACCCTCGAATGAGGTGTAGGCCAGAGTCAAGACGGCTGAGGGTTCAACGGCAAGAATCCCCAATACACCTCTGAGATTATTATTTGTACAAAGAATATGTAGCTTTGAGACTTGTGGTACAGAGTTTGTAGGAAAAAAACAACAAACTGCTTGTGCTCTAACAGCCTCTCTCAGCAGCAACCATTTCTCTGTGCCCCTGATGGGTCACATCCGTAGTAGCATATAAAAGACCAATTTGGTGTCAGCTGATGGTATTAATCTCAGAACAAGTGGACAATATCAGACTAGGATCCAACATGTATTCTGGGAGGCATAGAGATACATCAAAAATATCTTTATTGGAACTTGAAAGCTCTACAGTCTTCATGCCTGACAGCCAGGTGCACACAAAAATGCAGGATACAAAGAAATGCATGTGTGAGCTTGGGCACGCTGAATTTATTGCTTCGTGTAAGCATGCCGACTGTGGATTTTGCAAAGCCACTGAGTAAATATGTTTCTCCTCAGGTAAAGCCAAAAAAATAAATATGGAAATAAAGGAAACAAAATGAAGAACAGGTGCCTATAAGGTGAAGCTGCGATCAGGAGGTAACTCTGTTCTACCACATAAGGAAAATAGTTCAAGAAGTAGAAGTCCGATTTCAAGGTGAGGAATCACCTTCGGGAAGATGATAGATGACCTCTTGGATACTGGTAGGCCAGGCAAAAACCATATTTGAGCAGCAGTCATCACAGTCAGAGCTGAAATAGCTTGAGGAGTCCTGCTTTAGTTTGTTCAGTCAAAACCAAGGCCTCACTGACATGACATATTTATATATTTGAAGAGCCCTTAACCCTAGGTTGAGGCTAGTCTGAGAAGCCAGGTGAATAAAAATACCCAAGTGCCTTGGTGATGTCTAGAGACCTCCAGCATTTCTCTAATTATGCTGATGGTCTTGGGCAACTTCTTTTGCTACCAGAAACAACGCTGCCTGAAAAAGGACCAGAGCGTGGATCCTGCTGTTAGGAGGACAAAAAGAAAAATCTCATAGCATTTTGCAAACATAAAACAAATGGCCTTAACTCACGTTGTTAGAGAGCACAACCCCTCATAGCTGTTACTAACGCTTTGCATGGGGCTGTAAACACATTGCCACATTTTAGAGATAAAACCACAGCTGAAAACATGTCATATCCAAAACAGTTACTACATCACTGCTATTGCTGACACCTTTTGTGACGTACAAAACCAAAATAAAGCTAACCATGTTTGCTCAGTGGTCAGCGTAACTACTGAACACAGCTTTTCCATCAACCTTGGCTCAGATCCTGCGAGGACCAGAGGATCCTTTTCATCCTTGATATGAAAACACCATGTGTGGTCAGCTCACAGCTAGGAAGCTGAGGGTCAGATCTACCTGAACTCAAAAAACAATAAAGTGCAGTAATAGCAATTGCTCAGCACAATATAAACGTTGACAATAAGAGAGCATGGCCAGATCTGAGTGCCCGTTAACTTCTCTCTGGGGAAACACTACTGCCTGGGTGGGTTACAATAGGCATCTAACCACCCCTACACAGCTACCCCAGATTAATGAAGGGCACAGAGACCATTTCTATCATCCTGGAAATTACCTTAGGGAAACCGCAGTTTTCCTTCTGCTGAAGGTAAAATTACTACTGGCAAATTTCAATTTGCCCAAGAGCGGAAAAGCTTTCCAATGCACCTTGTATTCACTAGAGGGAAAGCCAAGCTCATAAACCTCCAAACAATTCTTGTTTGAGGACTCACCCCAGGCACAGAAATAACAGCACAGACAGGAGACAGGTAGAAAAGGACAAGAGATACCTGAGTGAAAACTCCAGTGGTGATGACATCAGACAACTTCTGTTTCTCTCTTTAGCACTCAGGCAATATTCATATCATTTGTTTAATATCACACTTCAGTGAGTTCTGTTTACTGAAGTGATCACACAGATCAGGTGCTTGAACAGAATAACTGCCTTCTGGCTTCAGAAGGAGAAGATTTAATCTGATTAACCTCAACATCCTTTCAGTATATTTAATAACCACCTGATGACATGCTTCTGGGAAGCGAAAGAACAGCCCCCATGCTTTTGAAGCCCAGTTTGTCCCCCAGAGGAGATACTGAAGTGTTTAGAACTGTATTTGAATCTAGTCCTCTGCAACTATTTTAAAACAGCCTGCTTATCTAGCTTCTCAGCCCCTTCTAAATCATAAGCTCATTTTCACTTGCTAGAACTCCACTTACGAGTGGATTTCGAGCAGTGAGAACAAATGTTGCAGGAACAAGTCTGTCCTAGCTACAAGCAGAATCCTTTTGTCAATAAGAAATTACTCAGATAAAATGTTGAATACACCCATATGTATATATAGCGATAACCAGAAACAATAACATCAGCCTTTTCCCATCCAGAAATGCAAACCAAAGCATTTTGTTCAGCCTTCTTCTTTCGCTTGCTTGCAGAGCTAACTCCCTGTTTGGTTAAGAGGAACATGCAACAGATAAAGTCTAGTAGCAGCCAGGCAACTCTGCCTGGCTTCTCAGCTGCCAAGTTAATGATAACAAGATGAAACCTGAGGGAATACATAAATATTGACCAAAGTAGCAGGCATTCATGCACTATTTGCAAAAAGAGGACCCTCAACCAAGTAAAGCACTGGGACATGCGGGCAGACAGATGCTCCGTCTGCTCATTTTAGCTGTGGAAGAGGTCCGGGAGCGAAGACAGGGCCTGGTGCAGCACAGGGCTTGCATTTCCTTATTTGCATTGGAGTCATTTTGGAACGCGAACCTGTAAGATGGAGACAGAAAGGAGAGAGAATGGTAAGATTTTTAATCTGAAGTGCTCGCAACAACACAAAATATTCATACCTGAAACTGAACTGTTAACATGGCCTGTCTTAAGTTACCTGAAAACAAAAAGGATGAGACAGCAATACGTTTTCTTCATGGCTTTGCTGGAGATTACCCATTTCATTCAGCACAGGGGGGATAAAATAGGAAGGGTTGGAGGCACCAGCTAAAGGAAAACTGCAGAGAAATACAAGGATTTCCACATAGGTCACCTAACTACAAAGAGGAATGAAGGATTCCAAGTATTTTCTCACTGGAAATGAATTTGCAGGGAAATTCAATATCAGTAGTTCCATGAGGAAAAATTGAAAGAAAAAGAAAAGGCTATTGATCATATTCTGTGTCTTTAAAGTTTACTGAAACTTATTAGCTGTCCATTTTAATGCATTTAGAAACATACAATTTCAAATATTGTTACTTTAGGGAGCAAACCTAATTATTATTATTTTCACTCATATATCTATTCATGGCTTACTTCTTTTACCCGTGTCTTATTGAAGCTAATGACATTATGGAAATAAAGAAAGAACCAGTTTGGGCTGAGATTAGAAAAGGTACTGAGCAACTGTAGTAAGGATAAACGAAAATGTACAAGATTGTTTAGTGAGACAACAGTGTAATGCACTGAAGCATATAGTTGTAGAAAAATCTAATCAGTGCCTTACTGATTTTTTTCTGAGGAAAGGAACTCTTTCTGATTCTTTCTGGAGGAAGTGGAACCTTCCTTTTGCTATCCAAAATAACCCAATTAGAACAAGGAAATCAGACATAATTCTTCCATCATCCATCTGGATGAGAAGACAACCTTCATCTTTCTCTCACTTTTCATCTGCTTGTGCCAAGTGAATAGAGCCATTTGCAGGCTTGTTCAACTACAGTGTTTTCAGTCAACAAAAAGGTACAGACAGGATATAACAAGTCCACAGATACAAGCATTTGATCACCATTTCACAGCAAGGCACCAGTCAGTCAAAAAATAAGCCAAAAAAACTCATTCCAAACACAATTACATTCAGTTTTCTGAAAGGATAAAATCACCATCCAGAATACTATAGAAAGGCAACAAAATGTCTTGTCCTCACTCCGAAGGCTGTGATTTTTGGCATTTCCCCTCAGAACAAACGATCTCAGAAGACTAGAGGGTGGCCCTCCTCTTCTACCTATGCTTGCAGGGAACACATTTGGCTAGAGATGGCCTTGAAATTCTCAAATGCAAGTACACTTGTACTTGAGAAGTCCAAAGACATTCTTACTTAGGGCAAATCCAGCTTCACACAATTCTTAGTCCAAACAGCATTGCAAGATTCAAAATTTGAGCTTTTTGTAATTAACAGAATTATGCTTCAGGGTCAATCTCTCAAGACATGGAGATGTATTCACCCACAGATAGTCACAGAATGGAGCAAGGCAAAGACACCATAAAATTGCACTTTTGTAGTCCCTGTTCTTGTCAACAAGGAACCATGCTATGATTTTATACTTCCTACCTTCAAAACAGCAGCACAGCCTTCCACAATGCATGAATTGATACAACACTTTATGCTTAGATCAGGCTATTACCTTTCTTCCAAAATGTTTGACACAGTGAGCATCGAACAGAAGCTTTTCTAGTCTTATTTCTTCAATTCCAAATGCTGAAGCATCACGTGATCAAGAAAACAGCATCTCATTTGTACAACAAAGGTAATTCTTGCATGGCAAACTCTGTTAAACCATGTGATTTTATCTTTAAGTCTTATCTTCTTAAGCATTATCTAATTGCTACAATAAAAATGCAGATATTACCTTTATGCACTCTTCTGTTGATTTTGGCCAGTTTTAAACAGCAGCCTTTTTTAACATTCCGACCTAAGAGTGAAAAAATCATACATTGTCAAGGGAAAAAAAAGATGCAGAGTACATGCACAAAATGTGTTAGAGTTCATAGACATGTTGATTACATTATTTACCATTAAAGTCCTTGAAGAAGAGAGAGACCTTTGAAACAAAGGATCACCACAACTGATTTTTACATTTGTTCACACCTTGTTCCTAGCACAGAGCAGGAATTAATTCATCATCTTCTATCATTACTAGTAGACACAATATGCCAGATACAATGTGAGGATTTTTACCTTTAGAAGGTCACACATTAGCAGGCAACATGACCAGCAAATTCCAGCTGCCTTAATGTAAAACAAACAAACAAACAAAGCTCTGGTTTTTTTTACAGCTACATCACCTAAGGAAAGGATAGAAGACATCCAAGAGGACAAATAGAGCATCTTTGGGTCCACACGCACAGAAGTACAGAATAAATTGTTTTGAACAGGCAAAGCCATTTAGTCACTCCCTGCCTAATAGACCTAAGTGAGCTGCTGATCGTGCTTGAATGCTTGGTACAGAGCTGGAGAGAATAGGGAGAATAAAGGTTGACAGGGTAGCAAGCAAAGCTACAGAGCAGAGGTGGAACACAAAGGATGGAGGTTGGTTGAATTCTCAACAGCAAAGTCTCCCACATGCTCAGCGATCCCAGAAATCCCTGTGGCACAGTTCTACAGCCAAGGCAAGTGGTGGTGGCTGTTCTAGCATCCAAGAGGCTTGAGAAGTCACATTACCACTGTTTCATTCTGATCTAACGTTTTACGTAAAATGTAACCAATTTGTATACCCAGGCACTTTCACCGCAGCTGGAATGAGTAACACTGCACTGGAACTACAGTCAGAAGTGAGCAGATAGCTGCAGTTCATTCTAGACTGCTCTTCAATACCACTGCATCAGTTGCACTTAAGCACGCTCACATGCTTACACGACCCAGAAACCTCAAGCACGTTACTTAGGAGGAATCTTGCTGATCAGTGTGCTTGTGGATCATTACGGATAAGGAAGAGCATCCTACAAAAATTCTTCTGTCTCTTTTGATCCTAGGAAGTATGAACTTCCTTGGATGCACACTATTGGGAAGGAACATTAATACAGGGCAGCTCTCTACTTACGTCTTATCGGGTACTGCTGTTGCTTCTGCTATGCTCCTGAAGACAAATCTAGACACACTCCAGCTTCCTTTGACCTAAGGCACACTTATAAAAACACACCCCAGCATTCAGTCACCCTCACCATAACTCTGGCTGACATATCTACCTCTCAGATCAGCTCTGTTAAAGGAGAAAACTGGGCAACTCGCTTTACTACTTTTGAGGAACAGCTTCTGCATGTTTCTCCACGCTCGTGTGCACACATAAAATGATTTTTATGAGCTTTCTAGAACGCATGAAGCATGAAAAATCTGCTGCTTTTGATGGCTGGACACTTATTTGGCTTTCCTTATCTTATAGTCATTCACTACATTCTGTCTAAAAAATAAACACCATGGAACAATACAGAATCACAAGGTTAGAAACGACCTGCAAGATCATCTAGTCCAACCAACCACCCATTCCTATTGGTACCACAAGCTACTAAACCACATCTCGTAGCTCCTCATCCAGGCGCCTCTTGAACACTGCCAGGGATGGCGACTCCGCCACCTCCCTGGGCAGCCATTCCAGTGCCTGACCACTCTTTGAGAGAAGTTTCTTCTAATATCCAACCTAAACCTCCTCTGGTACAACTTCTGGCCGTTTCCTCGGGTCCTACTATTTGCCTGAGAGAAGAGGCCAGACCCTTTTGCACCACAACCTCCTTTCAGGAAGTTGTAGAGTGCAATGAGGTCTCCCCTGAGCCTCCTCTTCTCCAGACTGAACAACCCCAGCTCCCTCAGCCGCTCCTCATAAGGTTTGTGCTCCAGACCCCTCACCAGTTTTGTTGCCCTTCTCTGGACACGTTCCAGGGCCTCAATGTCTTTCTTGCAGCGAGGGGCCCAACGGTAGGTCTCAGACCTTTACAACATCAAAGATCAAATCTGAAGAGGTAACCAGGAGTTCTAAGTGTGACATTCTTCAGTTTCAAAATCCTACTAAACATTTTACCTCGCAAAGCCAGAATGGCATCTACAGATATGTTCTGTGGACAAAGAAACCCCTTTTAAGGTCTAAAGCACTCTGAAATTGCGTGCTTTGGAATACTACAAAGTGGTAAATGAGTGCCATAAAGTAATGTAGCTATTAAATTATGCAATATCAGCACCAAAGAAAAAAACTGAGACTGACTGATGGTCAGGAGAGCTACCGTCACCTGTCTCATGCTCTGATCAGACCTTCCCATTTACTCCAGTTCTGTTCCATACTCCCCTCATTCCACAAGTGTAAAGATGCCTTCCACCAATTTTCTTCCCTACTTGGGCAATGTGCAACTCTTACAATGTTAGATAGTTGTCTACTGGAAAAAAATATAACAAGGACCTCTTTTCAGGGCTGCAGACGGGGAGTGGGTTTCAGAACACAGATGAGGGTTGACAACTCTACACAGTGTGCAACAGGCAGCAAAGAAAAAAACCACCATGCAAAGCATGCAAAGATATTTGGCAGCTCTAAATTCTTCCCTAAATGTGTCGTCTTTTCCTCCCCGATTGCCAAGCTCTGTTTGTTTCCTCTAATTAAAATCAACAAACAATCAGAGAATGAGCAATTTTTTTTTTTTTTTTTTTTTTTTTTTTTTTTTTTTTTTTTTAAGTTTCAAGAGAGAAGCACAAGAGAAGAAGGGAAACAGTCGTCTTAGAAAAATATATACTGTACCTTCTGCAGTAAAGGCACTGAGGCACAAAAGGAAGACAAACAGAAAGCCACAGAGCACCAGGAGCTTCATCCTCCCAACAAGTCAGGAGGTGTCTTCTAGGAGGCTGAGGAGCGTTTTGGTTTGCCTCCAGCATAGCTTCGCGTTTTTTTATAATGTTGATCAGACCTGTCTTGAGATTGGGTGGAGATTTGGCCTTTGTATTGCACTTTAGGGTATGGAAACAAACAGCCCTTCCTCCTACGAGAAACAATTTACTCATAAATCAGGCAGCAGTTAGCTGCTTTAGCGAAAGCACTACCAGTTAAGAGAGTGCCTGGTTTTGAGTTTCAGAGCACGGAAGGATGCTCCAATGCAGAGTGCTTGTCCTGTGGCTCACAGCAGCTCCTTGGTGAAAGCCTTTGGAAGGACAGAGCACAGCTGAAATGAAGGGAGCTGAAACTGAAGAGCCACACCGAACCTGGAGGAACTAAATCAAAGCAACTCCAACGTGGTGTCAACATAATTAACAAGACAGATGGCTATGCAGCATATTTCTGAGTTTATCATTAACTTCTTGGTATCTAATATACTCGGTTAATTAAGACTCTCACAGAGATTCCAGTTAACGATCAAGATTAGGAAGTCCATCAAATTCAACAAAGTATCAAAGTTCAGAGAACGCATGTTTAAAAAGCCTTTCGAGAAAGGATCAGCTGCAGTTGAGTCTCTTAAACGAGGCAGTGTAGGTCTGATGGCACCTTGTTCTCACAGCTTATTCTGAAATGACTTAGATCTGCTGTGAGCTGAGCAGCCGCCTGGGCTACACCCACAAGCTGCCTGGACTTGGAACTGCAGCAGGACATATGGGTGCACTGTGGTGCACCTGCACATTCATCCCTCTTCTCTCAACCCTGAACTTCAAAAAGTTCCATATTCCAGATTCTCAAATTAGGTTGCTTCTTGTGCTGGATCAATAGCTTTCCAAATCAGTGTCAGTCTGTTAGCCTACCAGCTTTAGCACACAAAGGTTTTCTATACCTTAACACCTTACAGTATCCAAGTATTGCGAGGGTTGATAATTTGTCCATCTTTTCTACTAAGGCTGACATTACCAAGCCTTTCAGATAAAAATCACAAACAGTATTTGCTACACAAAGCATTCTCTTCCAAGTGCTTTACAAACAGCCCTTCCTTACCACAGCCACATCTCAATCCCTCATGTGACTAAGACTCTCAAAGTACTTTTCTATTACAGTCAGTGACACAGAAATATGAATGGGACAACAGAACTTTGATCTATGTTTATGATGTTAGGCTCATAAATAGTTTAAACATATGGATGAAAGCCTTGATCTCGCACTTTAAGAGCCAACAACACTTCTGCATGTCAGTATAGAATGGATCCTTTAATTTGCATCACTACATACGCAGAGGAACAGGCAAAAACCATACACTGATCATGATTGAAAAAGTTTTCCAAAAGGTGTATTACTTTGTGTTGTGGAGAAGAAGGACAGTTACTTTACTGGTAAAAAGTTAGTTCTGTGACTGAGCGTAACTATATATAGTTATACATATATATATATATATACATATATATATATATATAGTTATATATATAGGTACTAATAGGTAGTAACCACGTGAACAAGATATTTCAATGGTAACCCAGAAAACAGCTACTGTTTGCAACTGAAATACGTAAAATCTCTAAAGACAAAGAATTGAAATTCTTAATTGTTACCTACCCTGAACATGCTAAAACCATTTACACCCCGAAGCAATTTTAAATTCACCAGCAACGTGGTTACTTCTGAAACACACACAAGATCTCCTCACGCTTCTCTGTTAACAAAAAACTCTCATTTTTCTTCCCCAGAGAGATGATGGCATTTCAGCTCTGCCTTTTAAAACTGCCTCACCCAACTGGCTTCCTTCCTTAAACAAAGTATAAATAAAAAAAAAACACCTCATAAAAGGCACATATTAACTCAAACCTAGTAAGACTTTATACCCCAAGAATCTTTCATGTCTACAGAACTGAATAACACCATTGCCTCCTCTTTCAGTGTGCACAATAAGAAATAAAAGTTGAATATAGAAGGGGAAAGTAACTAAGTAATAAGGGATATGTATTGTATAACAGAACCTTGTCACATTATGGCTGTTGACATCCCCAGCTACGTTCATCTAAGTGAGCTGGAAGGGCACTGGAATGTTGAATGCAATACAGCTGCTACCAACACCCACCACAAGAAAAGGAATCATTTTTCTTAAATACTTACAAAACAACATTGGCAACAGGAGTGCTTAAAAATAATTATTCTCCTAAATACAGATGACTAGATTGTAATTTTACCACCCACTGCAAGCAAGATAAGTATGCATTGCTTGGATACCTCACTTGCTTTCTGCTTGAAAGAAGCAGGTTGCTACTAGGTCTCCTCTGTTGAGCAATCCAAGCCTTCCAGCTGCTGTCATGGGAAATAAGGATAATAGGTGTGTTTGCCTCATCTCTGACTGCTCAAATACATTACCGTGAGGAAACCATGCAGATAGCAGCAAGCTGTGATGTCCGCTTCCAGCCTGCTTTTCTATTTCTCATTCTGAGTTTGGAGAAGCCAAACAAACCACTTCCTTAAAAGCCATCAAATCAAGATAGAGCAAAAGACTTGGCCAGGTAAGTTTGAAGTACTGCCCATAGGCACCCAGCTCTGCTTGCTACAAAGAGAGGCTGCCACCATCTCTGCAACTTTGGTTAACTCAAAAGCAAATAGGAGGATGCTGTCTGCAACGTGGTTTTGGTCCTCCCATCGAACATGGAGGATCTCTGCTCCAGAGCACAGTAGAACAGTTGACTTCTGGATTTTCTCCAGCATCTTTCTCTTCTCTCATCTATTCCAGTGAAAACACATGGTGTGGTGCAAGACAAATTATCCTTGGCCTTATAGGTTTTGATTTATAGTCTTAGCTTCACACCTTTGCCACTGCTGATGGCAGTGTCTCCTATTCAGATAGCACATCTGTACCAGCAATTATGCTCATTTCAATTAGCTTTTTAAGTATCTTCTCACTTAGAGACTGGAGACTCACTTGGACTGTCCCCCTGCCTCTTTGCACGATTCCAATCATTCTTTTCCTTCCTTTTTGGTACTAACAGGCCCTGTGTTTGTTCTGTACATGTGAAGGATGCCCATATACTTCAGAGTGACAGGACTGGAAGGACAAAAAAAAAAAAACAAACCTGTTTTGTACAAAAGAAAGTTGATATCTATTAAATAATTTGTTAATCCCTTGCTTTTCAAAGGAGTCTCTGGTATGACGCCTATATTAATGGACACTACAGCTATGGCAAGAACTGAGCCTGTAATAAAAGCAGCATCTCATCATAGACTGAGACTACAGTACCTCATCTCCATGTACTACGGAAAACGTCCATTTAAAGGCCTTCAAGTCATTAAAAATCATAATTTTAGTGTATTAATCTCGTTTCATATTTGTACATATTAATTTCCTAAGGAGAGGTTAATCATAATGGGTTGGTATAACCATAACCGTTGTATTAGTTTTCACAAAATAAGGCCTTTGCCTAGAACCAGCTATAACTGTTGGTGCAAATGCTTCCAGAATTTACAGAGCTCACTACGTGCTTACTCACCTTTCAGCAGCTGTGACATTGGTTTACCAAACTTACCTAATGAAAAAGTAGTAAAATAAGATATTCCCTTATAATTTTTTGCAAGATTTCCCTGCTTTTAACCCCTCCACATTCAGCTGGCAGTTTCCTCCATTCCCCTGGTACTCACAGATCTCTTGCTAGTGTTGCAGTACAATGATTACTCTGCCTGTTAGCTCTGCTCTTCCTTCTTCTCTCCATTGCCAACATCTTGTGCAGGTGATTGTTATCCATTACTCCACAAGGATAAACACCTGCCTTCATCACAAGGGTTTATTTTAGTTCCTTGCAATATTTTTCCCAGCTGCTCCCTCTCAAATGATGGAATAGTGGAGCAAGGGTGCTCTTCACCTAGCTGGTACTTTTCTTCACGGCCTTATGGCCATGAGCACGCTGCCTTTCCCCACAGTGTTTCAAGTAGGTCTGCTTTATACCATAATTTAAGTCAGCAGCTGCACCATCTTTGCACTTAAAAATTTGAAATGGACTCATTTTGGGAGAAGAATAATGCACTTAAATAACCCTTCCACGTAGTATTTAAGGAAGAATTGGATTTTTATTTCAGCACTCAGTTGCAGCAGCTTTCATCGCTACAAGGTACAGATGTGCTCTTACAACAACTTATAAGAGCTCTTCTTATGGGAAACTGAGTACATCAGTCTGTGGCAGTTCTTAGTAAGGATGGCTGTTCAGACCTGCAGCCCCGTGCTGGAATTCCAGCTGCTACAAAGCCAAAAAACCCAGCAGCAGGAGGTCCCCGGATTAGTCATTAACCCACCATTTGCCAACCTCACTCCAGTAGTGAAGAATAGCCAATGGCAGCAGAAGTGACCCACTCTAGAAATATAATTCTCTCACCCACATATTCTCTCGCTGTGTCTTAGAGTGCTGACCTTAAGATTTAAGCATCTTTCCTTTCAGATTCTACTTTCAGAGATAGACGAATGGGAAGAGGGTCAGAAAGACATAATATTTTTGCTGATTTCTTCATTCCTACTTTAAATGCTGTTTGATTCGTTTTTGTAGACACCCATATTAAGCTTCTGAACAATTATTTACCTCAGAAGCATTCTCAAGAATGAAGCTGTAACTAAAAAATAGTGTTTTTCTTTTTATTTGTTAATTTTTGTTTATTAAAAAAAAAAAATCAACAGAACATAAATTCAACCTTTTAACACATTGTGTTGCCACTTCTTACTAGCAGGCTTACAAAAAATAATTGTTGCAAACTGTTTTTAAGTTTTAATTTCATAAGAAAATAGCATGACAACACTGTCATCCTGGATTTGGTCAACAAGGAATCTGCCAGGGACTGGAGAAAAATAGAGCTTCTGACCACTAGCAGGAAAAAAAAACAGAAAAAAAAACCCCAAAAAAACAAAACCAGCATTAAATACTTCACTGGAAAATCTTTAAGACTTAGGTAACATTCACAAAATATCCTAAATATACAGTATACAAATTATATGGGAGTCTAGGTACCTATAGAGGTACTATATTTCTTCCAAGTCACAAACTCATCACCACTGCACTGGTGATGTAGTGGGGACATGATGACTTACTTGTATCAAAACAACCACTGTCATGCTAAAGCAGATGTACCATTAATTTATTAAGCACAAATCCAAAATCACTCTACCATCCCACCAAGACCAAACAAGTTGCTATGAATCTACCATCAATACCACCTCATTCCTTTTTTGTGGTGACTGCTTGCCCAGGGATGAAGATGTTCGTTTCTTCCTCCTAAGCAGTACAACAAATCCTCTTCTAAGGAAGAAGAATGACAACACAAGACAGCTGAAAACAACAACATACCTGCAAAACCAAGCAAAAATAACCACATTTCTTAAAGCAATACATCCATTCATGAGTTTAGAACTTGTAAGAGCAAGTAACATAGCAGATTTTATTTCCCTCCAGAACAATTTTAGGAAAACAAAGCTCCTGATATGTTGGCAAATTACACATTAGTGCCCCAGGGCAAAGAGAAATGCAAGCTCAGGTGCAGTGCAAAAAGCTCACCTTCTAATCACTGATGTCACTTGCCTGTGTAGATACAGTCAAAATTTGGGCTCTCAATAGAAGTTTCAGCCATGCTTCCCTGCCCTATCAAACTTCAAACTAAAAGCAAAACGATTGTTCTTGAAGTCTATTTTTTTCTTACTTCCCAGTCACAAATACAATTGAAGTGACCATAAATGCTTTGAGGGATAGACTGGGCTCATTACATTGAAACAGCACCCAGTGAACAGAACTACATGGTTTTAGCAAGCTGACACAAGTAGCTGAAACTACACCAAACAATGAAACATACAACTGTCTGTGTAGGAGACGACAGAAGGAATAGAAGCTGAAATTCATATTGTTACAGAAACACATAAGGCCTCAGCCTGTGCTTCCAAACACCTTTGTTCAAAATCTGGAATTCATACTACCAAAACAAGAAGAAACGCTTACTTGTCTTGCATTAAACCATCAGCATAAACACACACACTACAGAAGAACCAGGAATACGCCACAATGGTTGAGCAACATCACATACACCCATTCAAGAAGGGCAAACTCTCCCTGCCACCCCTGAAACCAGCTCCTGTCAGATCAGCAGACAAGCTTTATTTATGTTCGAAACTGATCAATATGCAGATTAATCACAACATCTTTCTGGAAACCCCAAAGGCTGACAGCTGCACAGTATTTCCTGCTCTGGAGGCTTGCCAGCTGATTAAATGCCCTACCTATTCAGGAAGGAGAACAAGATGTCTGTCCAGACATTTGTCAATGTACCACTTCATTTCCTCATACTAAGTCTTCAGGAATTAAGCACTGAGCAATCTAAGCAGGCACTCTGCGCAAAAGACCCAGTCAGCTGTCCTGCATTCTTCCATCATTTTTTCTGAAAGAGGACAAGGAAAAGCAACTTCTCAAACAGCAGCAGCTATGAATGAGAGAAGAATCTCTTACAATCAATGGAAGCATAGATGGTCCTCCCCATGTAGGGGCTGTTTCTCCCTCACTCTGGGGAAAAGGAGTGGGGCACAGTGGGAACAGAACTGCCTCCATAACCAGAAAGTTGCACAGCTCTTCTCACTGCCCTCTCAAGGAGCTGCAAGCTTTGGCATATCAGCTGTCAAAAGTTTCCTAAATTATATCCTGCTTAAAGTAGATGACTAGAACAAAAGAAAAAACATTTCTTTCACACGTAGAACACTTAGCACAGCATTCAGTCTAAGTCTTTATGGACAGAATTAATTTCCATCAGTATTCTGCTATCATGGATCGGAATTGTTGTGATTTCTTTTCTCCCCTCCAAATGATGTCTCCACATCAAAGGCAGGTTAACCTCCCCATTGAAACGTAGCAACAGACCGCTCAGGTACCATCACACACAGCAGAAACAAGGGCAAGATCAACTACAACCTGTTTAGCAATAAAGCCCACACCAAGTATACATACATTAAGAGTAATGAAACAAGCAAAAATATCAGTCATGTTGCTCTTGAAGCAATCCTTATCACCTTGAACTACCCTTGATTGACCAATCTGGAAGCATGACATATATCTCTATCCATCCTTATTGGCTTCAGTTACTAATATTACTGAGAATCTATGGTTCGATAACTGCAAGAGGCTCCATATGGCTGCCTGCACGAGCTAACAAAACCCTTTAGTCTTCTCCTTCCTACCCCATCCTTCTTCCTTCCTTGTAGTTCATGGGCACAAAAACAATCCAAATGAAAAAAGTGTTTTCAACAGAATTGCTTCAGTTAAGAAAAGAAACAGACCCCTAAGCGTCACTACGTATGAGTAAATAGGCTTTCACATTTTTAGCCTGAGAAAAGCTGTAACTTTGCTATCCTGTCCAACTTCCTGCATAAACCACGCTGAAGCGAGCCAACTGTTCACAGTACCCATCATAATTCAGCATAGGATATAAGACTTGACTTAAGACCTCAATAAACAAAGCTAACCAGAATCTCCATTAGACTGAAGGGAGTTTTGAATTGTCTCCCCTTGCACTGTGCTCCTGGGTTTTATACTATTTTAATCATGATTTAAATAAGGCCCTATTTCTGGTTAATGAAACCTACAATTCCTTGCTGCCATGCTTACACACTTCTCACTAAACTACACAGTGCTTCGTGATCTCACTCAAAGACCTGACAACTGCCCTTTCTTAAATACAAGTTTACTCACTCAAAACAGAGGAAACTAAGCAAGGTTTTGATCCTGCCTGCTTTTATAACGCATTTCTCCCACTCCTCATAAATTCAAAAATAATTTAAGTGCCATACAGAATTTTTTCCTGAAGGCTTCATTAAAAGTCAACCATAGAATTCAATTACGTATAACTCTCCTCAATCTAACAACAAAAAGAATCAGATTTAAAAAAGAACCTCTTAGAGCCTCGTAACTGTTAAAACGAACAAACAAACAAACAAAAAAACAAAAAAAACAAGTCAACAAAAGTAGCCAAAAGAGAGGACAAAGTAAAACCAGCAAAATGTTAAGCAACATTCCTCATTCAAAGAAACCGCAGAACCAGTTTTACTCCTTGATCAGTCTTGAATTTTTAGCCTCCTGGTAACAACTACTTGAGCTTCCTCTTTTTCTGAGTTGAATGAAATTGAGTGTAAAAACTAACTGCAGTATTGATTAGCTTTTACAGGTCTGAATTTCAGGATATAAAGCACCTAATGTCCTTTTGAAAGTACTCAATATTTAAGAGAATTAAATAACAGCCCTTCCACAGCTTCCCTTTGCTCTCAAAACTAAGACGTACTGAACAGATCTTAATTCCTACTTTATGAGAATCTCCTAAGTTTTCAAAACCTACAGAAACAAAATAAACTACTCCCGTGAACAGCACTCTAATAAATTTTATCATTACTATTCAACAATCTTTTCAGCTCAATGCAAAGTTCAAGTTCTGAGTTCATATTCATTGGAGCAGGACAGAAAACCAGCATGAAAAACTCCTGGATTGATGCTGCCCCTGGAAAAATGAGCACCAGGTTCTCATGCCTATTAAACCACTGCATTTTAAGTTTTTATCCTTCCTCGAATCAGCACTGCAGTAAGACAAATTTTGATTGTTACACAGTATTCACATGTAAAATAAGTTTCATTTCCCCCATTTCTGGGGGGCCACACAGTCAGCCCTAAGAAGATATTTTCCTGACAACACAATTTCATCTACAGGAATTGTATCTTTCCAGAAGACCCAGTACAAATGAGCGTTCATGCTTCCTGAAACACCCTTAGGTTGTTAGCTTTTTTCTTAAAAGGTTATGAGACCTTCCCATTAGAGTGCTGTCTTCTATACCTTACAATTCCAAAGCACCCAGGGACCCCCATCGCGGTTCAATCAGGACTCTAAACTTTTGTTCCCAGAAAAACAAAAACAGTAGTTTGGTCTAAGTTTTCTTTCGTTACAGACATGTTTATCTAAATTACCTAACAGGGCAGCCCACCGTAGATTAGAACTTGATTACAAGCATATTTTATTATTAATTACTGTTTATTATTGATTACTATTCAGCCACAGCAACAGTATGGGGAAACTGATTAAGCATATGAAGTTGCTTGAAGAGCTGAGAAACCCTTTAAAGTTAATACTTGTCACAACTCAGAGATTCCTTCCCTCCTCTTAAGCACCATATATTTCACTTCATGGAAAACAGTGCTGGAAACAAGATTGTGCTGTCTAATCTTTGGGCACAAAAGGTTTTGGGCAGGGTTCTTCACAGTCCAGCATTTCTTCACTGTGACTGAAGAGAAATAGTGTAGTATACAACAAACCTGCAGCACTGGCTGCAGTCCACAGCCAACAGGACACACCAGAAAGGCCCCTTTCTTTTACTACGACTGGTGACATGCTGGAACAGGCTGCCCAAAGAGGCTGTGCATGCCCCAGCCCTGGAGGTGTTCAAGGCCAGGTTGGATGGGGCCACAGGCCCCATGTGAGGAGGTTGGTTGTCCTGCATGTGACAGGAGGTTGGAGATTCACGATCCTTGAGGCTCTCCCAGTCCTGGCCATTCTGTGGAAGCAACTGTAGATCATCATTTTCCATCTGGGAAACATCCTCCAAAGGATGGCAGCCAGTGAAACTGCAAGTCATGGATTTTTTTTTTATTTTTTATTTTTAAACTGAGGAGAACACCTTCCCTTACAAAAGAATCAGTAGGGGAAATAAGTATAGCACTCTTCACCTAGTTATTAGTGTATTATTAGTGCAATGTTAAAATATTTCAGTAACACAGGAAAAGTGAGAGTTATCAACATGTGAGGCTAGAATTTTATTTCTCCCATAAACACAGCATAATTTACCAGAAAAACTGAAGTAGAGTCATTTCTATGAGCTCAAAACTTCCTTGTGCCCTTGCCCCTTAATCCAGCACAACACAATGTACTTTTGCATGTATATATTTCTTAATATTAAATCAATTTCACTGACAGGAACATTTCCTTTCAATTGAGCTAAATATACCAATCTGGAAAAGAATTAAAGAGAGACTAACAATGCATCTAACAATAGCATGCCTGTGATACCTGGGTTTACAGCAGGCCATTCTCAATTCCCTTTCTTTCAGTGCTAATTGTACAAGCTTCTAAGAGCAAGTAAACGTGGGGAGCTCTTCTGAAGAACAGAGCTTCACTTAAAATACCAAAAATTAGTCACTACAAGAAAGACCTCTATAATTACCCAACAACTTGATAGATCTACTATCAAAAAAGTCCAACTGTTATTACATCCATTCAACATTAAAGTACTGGGAAACAGACAAGGTGTCTTCACACGCTCCAGGAGGAGAATGACATTTTCACGTAGGGCAGATGTCACATAGGCTCCTCATCTTGTCTCCTTTACATTGTTGGTCACATCACCCATCCCATCCAGTGCATTTCTGACAACTGCTTAAATCTTTCTGAGGTTTCTGCCCATGCAGCAGTAGCCTTTGCTACATTCAGTGTCATATGCACTTCGCTCAGTTCTTCTAAATGCTTCAAGAAAATATTATTTACACAATCTTAACTGAAAACTGTTATATGTGAACAGTATTTCCTGAAGTAGCTTGTCACTGTCTGCATATAAGATACATGTCTATACAAGTGACTATTATTTCTGCACAGTTCCATTAAAAAGGAAAGCAACAGCTGAACTGCTTCCAAGTCCATTAAAAAAAAAAAAAATCAGACAATTTTACTCAGATATATTTTAAATAATTTACTTTCCCCAAATATGTATGCTTTGAAGTTGTTCACGCTATTGGAAGGTGTTTGATGATACACTGTTAAGTCTGAATCACATTGCACTTAAGCAACAGGCTGAAATGTGTTTAACTTCTGACCTGCAGCAAAACTGCTGGTAACGATGAATTTTTATTTACTATATGCACTAGATAGACAATTTAACAGTCTGAGCTGTCAGACAGCTGCTAAGAGTCTCGGTTTACTTTCTCCTTCCACCTCCACCACCAGCAAGCATGGTGGCCACACGAATGAAGATGTTCAGCGTGTCTGTATAGATGCCCATGCACCTAAGAGAGATAAAATGAAAGTTAATCCTGTTAAACAGAATGAGTATTATTTTTGCTATTTCCTGCCATTATACTTGACTTCTTAAAAGCCTCCATTAAAGGTCTGTAATAAAACTCAACTACAGCACATCTTCTAGGCTCGATGAGTAATAATACTGCCTTATTTCACTCTACCATCTCTGCCAGCAGCATCAATTTGCAAGAAAACTTCACAAACACACCGTTCTCTCACAGGATTCTTTTATTCTACACTCTCACTGCTTAACTTCAAGAATTTTGGTGATGACTGCTATCCTATTTACAGATGACCAGATGCAAAGAAATGAGGAATTCACCTAACATCAGACAGATGTTTACAGTGAGGAAGTTATCTATTAGTCAGACTTATCCTGACTGACGATCAGTTAATCCTTCTTTCTTTAAAGCCTTGCTGATTTTTTTTTTCTTCTTTTTTTTTTTTTTAAAGGACATTAAGACTAGTAAATATTACATGACTACAGAAGATTCAGCATTCCTCATCTCAGCTGATACTGATAGTTATTTGCAGAGATCAGCTACAAATCCTCCTAGAGATGATTCACAAAACAAACTTTTTTTTTTTACAGTTAGTGTCAGTAGGGGCATGTGACACCACATATTCAAAGTCGTTTCCCTCATTTCAGGTAAATGATTTCAGTCTCAACTCCACTAGTTATTTTCACATTACATTCCTAAACCTGACGATTCTTCCCATTTTATAGAAAGACAACAACAAACAAATTGCACAGCTCTTTAGAAATAAAGTGTAGCTCTACACAGCTCAAAACTGTTACACGTGTTACACTGTTACACAAATACTTACGCATTGATCGGGTCGTATTTTGTTACTCCATAATATGGAATAGTCTCTGCACGCTTGATAACATGCTGCGTATCATAGAGCAGAAACATGCCAAAGAGTACCAATCCTCCATAAACAGCTACTGAATACAAGCCAGCCCCAAGAGCAGAAGTCGGTGGCAAGAACATGGATCCTGGAAAAGAATATGCAATAGCATTACACAAAGCTGCAGCATGTGTCTTGCAATGGCTGCTCCAGGCCAATTTTAACTGGACAGACCAGTTTGCAATCAGAAGTAAGCTGCACATTCTAGCAGCTTCAGTTTATTGCCTACTCTATTTAACAGCATTAAAATGGTACATTACCAATCGAAGAGGCGAGAACGAAGCCAAAGCCTATTCCAAGTGGTCCTCCCATATTCAGAAATTTTTCACTTGGAGCACACATGGCCACAGTTGAGAGCCCTCCGACAATTCCAGCTGTATACCAGGCAGCTCTGATGAGCAAGGGACCACCCAAGAAAGCTAAAGGAGCCACCACTGCACCCATGACACCTAGCCAAAGTAACAAAAAACCAAATGTAACAGGTTTGGAACAGTCCAGGTAAAAACACCACCTACCAAAACTATATCTACTTGAGTCAGATAACACAGTTTGAAACCACTCATATGACAGAATACCAAGGCACCTGGTTGCCAATTTATCATGCTGCCTTCTAGACAGGCATGCAATCTTAAGCTCAGCGATCTACTTTCCACTAGCTTTAGAAAATACTTCAGGAAGCTCATCTTAGAATGGACTGATCAACTCCTTCACAGCTTCAGGAATTCTCAAAACTGATAGATTTTTTTTTTTTGCTACGTCAGTCATACTTTTTGCTAGAGAATTGCATGAAGCCTCTACCCATTAATGACAAATAACTACAATAAATTCACTTCCTTCTTAGTAGAAACTTCAGCTCTACAAAGAAAAGTGTAACTCCAGTCCCAGATGAGTTTCTTTTCCCCAAACCACGCTTCCGGCAACAGTTTTTATGACAGCCATTGTTACTTGAAGCGTGTAACATCCGTAAGAAATAAATCTGTACTCCATCCTATAAATCGATTGATAACATACGATCAAGAAGCTGCATTTTAATACCAAAACTGTATCCTTCTGATCAGTTTTCATACGCTTACTTATCCTATACAGCTGAAATACAGTAAGCGTAGCGCTTACAGAAGCTATGGAGTCAGAACGCAATCGTGAAACCAAAGCAAATATTAAGAAATGAGTTCTATCCAGTTTGTCTCAAGTTTTGCTTAAGCATGATTTTTACAAGACTATGAGAAATTAGAGGACAAATGAGACACCTCACTGGTTTCTGAAATCTACAGCAGCAAGTAAAAATTAACAAAGCTTAGATATAATAGTAGAAGTGAGAATTTAATCATATAGAGGCAGACAACTTAACAAAAACTATAAACACATACCTGAATGCATCATCCAAGCAAGATGTTTAGCTGCTGGACTGTTTTCATAGGATATGGACCTGACCAACATTCCAGCACCGATCATAGCAGCAAAAGTTGCACCGATTGCCTGTAAGAACAGCATCACAGAGCTAAAGCTGGCATATGGACAAAAAGTCTCTGTTCTCCCACGTGATCTTTTCCAGCCTCCTAGGAGGTAACTTGCTCTTATCACAAGGATTAACCACTGGATGTTGTGCTACATGGAACCCCCACTATTCCACTGCGCTCAGCACAATGAATGCATAGGAAGCAGACACGTCTTGTTATCTTACCTGGATGATTTGTCTGCCAATATCATTTGGGCCTCAGCAAAAATGAAAGTTTTCAAAGAGTTACAAAGAACAGCACACAAAGAAGTACAAATGCATAAAAATCTCTGATTTGATTCTTAGAAAGTGACAGAAACAGTGTCACTAGCTTCAGACAGCCAGTCATAGCAAGTTATTACTTGCTATGGTCAGGATAGCATAGCATTTTTGTTTCTTGCATACATAGTTGGTCTTCCACAAACTATCAACAAGGTACCAAAGGGGCACATCAGCATGTAATTGGATTTTTAGTCACAAAAAGCCATCAGGGCATTACACTATTGTCTGTGCCCTTAAAGGCTACATCCGTGAATATCTGCACAGTTTTTTTTATATTTGATAACAGCCGTTAACATTTAGGATCACTTTACAGACACTCTAAATATAACATGAACTTACCAGCCAGGAGCCTTTTGTCATAAGGCCCATGAGTGCAGGAGATCTGCTTACTGCTACAGCTGACAGTGCTGTCAAGCCAATGCTTCCCGCAAAGTACATGTAGGTAGAGCGAATTCTGTCCTTCACATACTGGGGCCAAATACTGAAAAATAAGCATTTGTACATAGCTGTGCAATTAACAACACCAGAATGAAGACCAACTATAAGCATTTTTCAAGCTAAGGATACAAAGGGAGCATCCTAAGAATTGGTAAGGTTTAGCAATTTCTGTCATGAGTTCCTTCTACAACAAAGGTGCTGAACTTTTAAATCCTTCCCACCATACAGTGCTATTACATAACAATTAAAGCAACAATTACAAAGAATGCCAATTACAGTTCAATTTTGTGTAGGAAGCATACATCATAGGAAGTACAAAAGGGGAAAAGTAACAAATTTTAACTATGGAAAACTACAAAACAGTGTATGTAAAATAAACTGGGTTAAGGAAAAATCTGTACAGAATGTGTCCTGAGCAGCAAGAAGCCCAGCGAGCTGCTCACAAAATGCT